AACGAGAGGTGGTTATGGAGCGCTGACATTCAGCGCTCCTTTGATGGTATCATGCAGAGCTTGATACAATCCCCAGTCCTAGCAATAGCCGATCAGGACAGGCCATTTCATGTGGTCTGTGATGCCAGCGATTTCGCAATCGGCTGTGCATTAATGCAGTACGATCTTGAAGGCGTTGAACGCGTCGTCTGCTATCAGTCGCGTCAGCTGCAACCAGCTGAGCGGAACTATCCAGTGCATGACAAGGAACTCCTTGCCATGAAGTATGCACTCGCGAAGTTCAGAGTCTATCTATTAGGAGATAGACCCTTCATTGTTTACACTGACCATGCGTCATTACGCACGGCAGTAAACAGCCCGCACCTTTCACAACGAATGGCGCGGTGGTTGTCATTCTTTGCAGAATACAACTTTACGGTCGAGTACAAACCAGGACGACTTAATGTCGTCGCTGATGCACTCTCACGTCGTCCCGACTTTGAACCAGTCATGAAACCCAACAGTGAGACAGTCACTGTTGCGGTTATGACGTCCTCAGTCCCATCTACAACGTTGTATGATGATGTGAGGCGGGCATACGCCCAAGATGGTGAGATAGTGAAGTTGTTGACACATCTCTCCCAACCATCTCGAGAACCGTTGAAACGATTGTCGTCTGCGTATCGATCCGCATCAGATCGATACACTACTCGTAACGGTTTACTGTACTATACAGCCGTTTCTGGTGACACACCACGTGTTGTCATTCCAGATGATACTGATCTGCGTTTGCGGATCATGTTCGAGTATCACGATGCTCCTATAGGAGGACATCGTGGCCGAGAGAAAACATATCTCACGGTAAGTCGAGACTTTTACTGGCCCCGCCAGTATCAGTTTGTGCGAAAGTATGTTCGCGCATGCGAAGTCTGTCAACGAGTGAAGTCAAGTCCTTCACTGCGTGCACCTTTACAGCCTCTACCGGTTCCGGCTGAGTGCTGGGAATCCATCTCAATGGATTTCGTCTTCGGGTTACCCAAAGACGCACGCGGGAATACGGGTATTCTCGTATTTGTTGACAGATTCAGCAAAATGGTACACCTTGTGGCTGTACCAGATACAATCACGGCAAGTGGCTGTGCTTTTGTCTTTATTGACACCATCTTCCGACTTCATGGGTTGCCCCGTGAACTCGTATCAGACAGAGATCCACGATTCACTGCTGATTTCTGGCGTTCCGTGTTCAAATCACTCGGAACGCGCTTGAAGATGTCTACATCTGATCATCCAGAGTCAGATGGCGTCAGACGGAACCGTGCCAACCGTGTCCTTGAAGAGATACTTCGAGGATACGTACACTCCTTTAAGAGTTGGAGTGAGTTTTTGCCAATGGTAGAGTTTGCCATCAACAACTCGGTGCATGCGTCCACGACACATACACCGTTTTACGTGAATGGCTTGCGCCATCCGCGTGTCCCCACCTTACTAGAGTGTAACTCTGGTTTAAGGGGGGAGGGACTCGCGCGAGCAAAAACCGATTTGGTTCACGCTCATCACGCTCTGACGAAGAAGTCATTGCGTTTGATGCCGATATCGATAACATCGATATCGAAGAAGATGATGCCAGTGAGAGTGCGGAAGCCCTCACTGAAGAAGATGATCCCAGTGAGAGTGCGGAAGCCCTCACTGAAGAAAAGGTTGATGTTGCCGCAGTGCGCTCACAGCGCACTGAAGCTAACGAGTCATCAGATGAGTTCATACTGGCTCGTGAAACGGTAGTCCGTTTTGTGCAAGACTCCATCGCCGAAGCGGTGGATAAGCAAAAGCAAAACGCTGACAAGAATGGAAGGGCAAACACTCTTTTATTTAATAAAGGTGACTTAGTCCTACTGTCTACGGTTAATCTACCAAAGCATGTAGTGACTAACTTGGGTAGCAGTAAACTACTACCCAAGTACATCGGCCCATTTCGTGTATTGCACCGCCTAGGCAATGCATACACGATCGAGTTACCACGTAAGATGCGAACGCATCCCACGTTTTACGTTGGTCGGCTTAAGCCGTACCATCAGTACGCTGCTTCTTCCGATGAAGAACGCCCTTGCGCTCAAGCATCTCGCAGAGAGCCTTGTGCTCCCGATGGTGGGCATCAACAAGGGTCTGAAGAGCAGCTATCTCATCCCGCGACCGATCAGCAATCCCACGAGCTACCCTTAGCTCGTCACGAAGAGATGTCAGAGATCTCTCGTTCTCAAGCTGAGCAAAGGCAAACTCAGCTCGATGCTTCGAGGCAGTGTCCGCCATTTGGAGACGCCTATTCCGCTCATGTTCGAGATCGTCGCGTAACCCTTGCGTTACGCGATCAAAGAAGCTCTCGGGAACACACCGATCCACATGATCGTGTGGAGAGCGTCTTTCCTCCTCCTCCACCTCCATTAGAGGACTCTTGCGGTGGCCAGCGCTATCTGGTTGAGCAGCTGTTGAACTACCGCGACGTGAACGGACTTCGGACGAGTTATCTCGTCCGGTGGCGCGGCTATCCCCCGTCCTGGGATTCTTGGGAGCCCCGCTCCCAACTGATGATCGACGTACTGGGTCTGGTTGAGCAGTACGACGCGGCACATCCTGTGCCGCAGAAGGACCACCAGAGAAAGTCTTCCCGGCACGGTCGTAAAGGGATTTCAGGTTGTCAATCCCTTCGTACATCTCAGTAGAGACACGTACGCGCCACCACGGGCTGGTAAGGAGGTAAGCCTCCTTAGGTGCTCGGGCAGAGTTGTTCACACAACACGGGCACGAGTCTCCCCAAGAGAGGCAGGGTAATCCTTTCTCCCTTGACAGACGATGCAGCTTGTAGCGTGCACCTGTCGGGGTTCGCTTTTCAAACTTATCGCGAGCTTTGATAAGTTTGTCATTCCAAACGTCACGAACTACATCCTCAAGGTTATGGATGTAGGCGTTCCACGCCTGAAGTAGTGAGGGACCATCACGTTTGTGATTCCCACTGTACCATCGATGTCTAAAGAAAGCATCGATGAAGAATTCATGTTCAGCGCGATAGTTTTTCGCGCTGGGGTCAAGGTGATGGGTCCTTGACGAATCGAACAATCGTGTTCGATAACGATCACTCGTCGTCGCCGACAAGTGATCCATGACGGATTTTGGAGGCATCCATGCCTTCTTTTCTGGAGTGAGACGCAACGCATTGCGGTCCCGCTCTTCCTGCGACGTGCCGACAGAAGTACTGGCACCTCGCTGTGAAGTGGTGTCCATAGGAGAACCGACACCACTATTAGCGCCCGAGTCTCGCGACCTCGAGCGCCTTCGCTTCGGCGATGGTTCATCTGATTCATCAGATGAACCAAAGATGCTGCGACGCAAAGCATCATCCATGCCACGCTTGGCAGGCGGCTTAGATTCAATCGCCGTCGATACGGATCCGTCATCCGTATCAGGAGAGTACGAGACACCGAGCTCATACTCTGTGAAGACATGAGTGTCTTCATGACCAGCGCCTGCGTCACCAAGTGACACAGGCTGGGTCGCTTCAGCAACCGATGAGACATCAGTTGCTGTATTTTCTGCTTCGGCGTCCGCACAGAGACGTGCAGACGCGATCTCAGCTGCCTTGCTCGCGCATCGCATGGGCTTGTTAACCATGCGATGAAATGTTGGAAAGTGGACTCGGACCAACAAGTGCAAACCCCGTCCCAAATGATTTGGGACGAGTATCCATTTAGTCAATCAGTCACTAAAGTGACTGATGGGTAAGGGGGGGTGATGTAACGGGGTGAATCGTTACATAACAATTTATAAGAAATTGTTAATAGAATATAACTATAAGAGTTATATTCTCAGAATATTGTCATAAGGACAAATATTCTGTAGCACTTACGAGTAGTTCCTAATTGGTTGATATAGGCCATTATATCAACCAACGAAGACGCGCCACGACAGACGCACGCAATGAGTGGTGAGCAGATAACTGATTTACACATTTGTATTTAGACATAGTTAGATGAAGATAAATAGTGATTTATTGCAGACATTAACTATTATAAATACAGTTCTACTTTTTACTTTAACCAAGTACTCGCTTCTTCTTACCGTCTTCCTCTGCACGTACGAGTGTACGTGAAGTTACGAGGCACCGCCTTATTCTGTCATCAGAATAAGTAGCTTGTACTGTCACCAGTACAAGCTTCAGGGTGCCCCGTTACAGTACTAGGGGATTCGAACGATTTAAGCTATTTAACAAGCAAAGTCAGAAATCTATAATTTAGTGGACAAGACTTCGTTTTCTCCCAAATTGAACGATTGCCTTACCCGCTTAGTTTTTTTGCTAGGGAGAATTTTTGACGAATGGCTGCTCTATGTGGAGCTGTGCATTTGACAGGCCCAGTCATGACTGTTAGATTTTAGAATTAGTAGCAAAAGTACAACTAAACCGTTTATCAATCTAGGCGATTTCGAAATTTTGTACTTGATTACTGTAACGGGTGAAGACTTATCAGCGAAAACCAAGGGGTCGTTTACGGCTCCCTAAATTTATCTTTTAAGCTGAATATTCATTCTAAAACGCTTGACGCGTTTGTAGTACGGAATATGAAATTCGAAGCACGGATTCGCCCGGCCCTGTACATTCACGATGCACTTTCGAGCTCCGAAAACACAACTGAGGACTCTCTTCTGCGACACGGTAGTGCCACATCGGCTTTTTACTGATTGTAAACTCGCCGAACAGATGCGAGATCACTTAAGTACCCCAGACGCCACAAAACACGTGCCGTCTTCACTCAAGCATCGTGTGAGCTACGATCTAGCCAGCTTTACTACTTGATTATAGCACATTTGGAATCACCTCTCATCACGACATGGATGCGTGTTCACCTTCAAAGAATCGTTATGGCGCAGCCTTCCCGGTGCTTCCCCCTTCTTCACACTTCCATCGAAAATAGTCCGTGACAGTTCGGCGTCCATACCGGCAAGATCTGCTCACCATCAATTGGTCCCACGCACTCCTACGACACGTAGGACGTGTTGAGCTTGGCACCAATGGCTACGGCAATGCGTGAGAAGCGCAATGCGCCGCGTTTCAAAACATCAGGTTTGTGCTTCTCATAGGCAGCTACAGCAGTCAAAAGCTTTTCGGAAGCACCCAGTCCCGTCATATCGGGTAACACCGATTTCACAATGTTGTTTGCTTTTGCTAGTTGCTCGTGCGGAGTGACGGCGGCACTTGCAGCGGTCTGATCATCCTTCACGGCACCAAGAGCGGCACCTGGGGCTGCCAACCCACTGGCTGGTGTAGCACTGTCGATAACAGCCGGCGTAGCGGTGGAAGTGGTGACTTCTGGCTTTATCGTCGTGTTTACGTCGAGCGCAGAAGGCGTCGGAGCGGCCAGCGACGGCGTTGGTTGCGATAACGTCGTTGCCATTCCCATGTTCTTAGACTGCTCGTATTCCTCGGCCAGCTTGCACTGCACCAATTGCTGAGAGATTTTATTGATCATCTGCGCTAGGCGCTGGGCTTGGTGTGCAAGTTTTGCCTGGTGCGCCGGTATCTTGGCTTCACTCTGCTGCATAATCAGCTCCTGCTGTTGTTCACGCAGCTTGGCGTGCTGGGCTGTTAGCTGGTGCTTGTGTGCTTCTGGAAGCTTAAATGTCCGGTACTGTGCAGGCGTCAATGATGCTACGCCGGTCGAAGCATTAGTTCCGGCAGGAGACAAACGAGCTGATGCCTCAACCGGAGTCATGTGCGAAGACCCCATATTCGTAAGCGGATCACCAGCCTCGTTAATTGCGTTTGTGGCTGCGTAATTGGACCCTGCAGCCAACGTAGAACCAGGAGTCACCGCCGTTGCTCCAGGCGCTGCTGAAGTCGGCTGCTCCGCGCTAATGCGCACTTGATTCTGAGCCTTTGAGTGCGCTTGCTGTTGAGTCAATAATTGTTGCCGCTGTTGTTGCTGTTGTTGTAAAAGGACTTGCTGTTGAGCGTGCTGAGCCTGAAGCTGCTTTTGCTTTTGTTTGCGTTGTTCTTCCAGCACTTCTTGTTTCTTGGCGGCCGCCGTAGCTGCAGCTTCAAGCAGCTGCTTCTTTTTCTGCTCCTCAAAAAGCCTGTGCTCTGCTTCGGCCTTTTGTTGCTCTTGCATCCTTTTCTGCTGCTCATGGAGCTGCGCGAGCCGCTGCGCTTCGTTATTATTCTTCACCTGCTCTTGATGAGCTGCCATCGCACCACTGTTGCTCGTCGCTCCCGAAGTAGCGTGCGTTTTTGTTTTCAAGCGTTCCAAAATGGGTAGTACTTGCTTATGAATGTGAGCCTCGACACGATCCAAGTCATTCTTATTGTTGCTGGTGACTTTTGATGGATCCTGCTGCAAAAGCGCAATAATGCGCTTCAAGTTCACCAAGAAGGTGTGAATGCGCTCTTGCTGCTGATTTGCAGGTTTTTGCTTCACCATGCGCTCGAACTCACGATACACGATCACTAGATCATCCCAGTACTTCTGCTTCATCTCCTTCAGTCTCTGCACGTATGTCTGGTTCGGGTTTCCAGACATTGTTGGTGTCGTCGATGCACTAACTGTCGAATCAGGTGTTGATGATGCTGCGGTCGCTGCACTGCTACTGGGTACTTGATGCTTCAGTGCATTATCAGCATGCGTTTGGGTCGTGTTTTGAGCACGCTGCATCTCTCGCATTGCCGCTTGTTGGGAATGTGCAGCCGACAGTTGCTCTGGCTTCACTCCACGCTGAGCAGCAGCGAGTGTCGGTGGCGTGTGAGTGGCTGATACCGCTGGAGCTGTCGTCTGCACCACCGTCGCATTCGGCAGAGGCACCGAAGCCGACGAGACACCATCTTGCGTAGCAGTTAGCATAGCTGAGGACGCAGCATTACCTGTGGTGGGCGTAGCTGTAGTTGCTGTGATTGAACCTTGTTGCTGGTGCTGCTGCTGAAGCTGATGCTGCTTCTGCATCAGGTACTGCTGTTGCTTCCGTTGCAACTGCTGTTGCTTGCTCTTGTGCAAATGTTGGAGTCGTGTGCGGGCAAGTTGATGCTGCTGCTGCAACGTCTGTAGTTGCTGACGGCGCAGGTCAGGAGCAACACCCTGCTGTTGCTGCTGCTGAGATAACTGCTGTTGCTGGTTCATGTGCTGCTGGCGCAGCTGCTGTGTTTCCTGACTTTGTGTGTGTAAAAGCTGCCGCTGCTGGGCTTGAAATTGCACTTGAATCCGTTGTAGCCACTGCTGTGCCTGCTGCTGGGGTGGCGTAGACAGATTCCCCGCGGGAGTCGTACCAGCTGCCGTTGGAGCAGTACCAATTGTATTCATCCCGGTGGCAACTCCCGAGTTAAAAACAGCTGAGACGTCGACATTCGCACAGTTGGACGCGGCTAATGCAGCAGCATTCTGTTGCTGGACTTGCGCTTGAGCTTGAGCCTGGGCTTGAGCCTGTGCCTGAGCTTGAGCCTGTGCCTGAGCTTGGGCTTGAGCCTGCTGGAAATTGCTCATGGCTTGGCTAGCTGCCACTTGATTTTTCTGAAACTGCTGTGCGTTCATTGCCGCATTCAGGTTCATGTTAAGCCCGCCAGCCATACCATTTGCTGCAGCACTCATAGCACCGGACGTCACCGCATTGTTGGCATTGGGGATCATGTTGGCCTGCTGGATCTCGCCAGCTCCCTGCTTCTTTTTGAGACTCATAATCTTCCTCTGCATCTTCATCAAGTACGAGTTCTACCACAGAAACAACACAAGCAGCAAAGAGGCAAGAGACAGCCATGTTAATGAGTCATCTCCATCTTCTGCCGTTCTAGATCAATAGAAAATACTCGATCAGGGCTGCTGGACCACAGCATCAACTCGAACTTCGCTGCTGATCCCCATACTTTCTGCTTGTCTACTTCTCCCGAGATACGCGCAAGTTCATGATACCTGATAGCAGCACGCAAGCGTGACATGAGCTAAGTAGTGTAAACATCTCAACCTGACATAAATCATATCACATCAAGTAGGAATGACACAAATCTTGTTCTCGGTGGAATTAACCCCTTTCTGGCGCTCTTCATGCTACGGTAAAACGTTACAAGACAGTGCTAACGCAGAGGCCTGGTACCGTACATCTCAGTGATCATCTTCTTGCGCATATCCTCAGGTATCTCCGATCGCCATTGGCCCTCCATGCTGCCTCCCTCACGCGAATCTTCTTGGATTGAGAGAGACGTGCGCACGAGGCTGCAAAAGTGGAAATGAGGGCTTCAGGGACGCGGCGGATGTCGTATAGGATCTGATTCGTCAAAATAGTGAGATGACAAATCGACTATTATTGGTGAAAATAAGGATCAGCAGTAAAACGACAGTTAAAGAGCTGGTACACGGAAAGCACGAAAAGCTCTCCATGTGTAAGCGCAATGCCGATTCTGCTTATTTGAAATTTGGGGTCACTCCCTACTAAATTAATGATAGTGATACAGCACGAACGTGAGTGTCTTCCGACAGAACAATGAGGATGTGGCGTCACGGTCGCTAAAGGACTACAGATTCGTTGATTCAAGTACTATATATCATGCTGCTTGGTCTAGGTGGATTTAGCAAAGGCACAACTCTGAGCATACAGCTACTAGCGGCCGACGCTACCGGTTGATGAGCCGACTCTGAATTTTAGCAAACAAATTGTTGGGGCTGAAGCAACATTACAGACCGCAAAGGATCAGACGTGATCGCATTATGCTTTTTGCATTTGATGTGATGACCTCCTGCAAAGTCGGGCGCGTGGCAGAACTAGCCGGCATGGTTTATGTGGATCACACGCGTGTAAAGCGATGCAAGTAGTTGCAGTATCTTATACCTCTCCACAGTTGACAAGATGAGTTAATTCGTAATGTGGAGCAGGTAATGCACGTGCTCGCATCATCGACGCCATCGAGGTTCAAAGCCAAAGGCAACCGTGGATACAGCTGCGAAGCACCTATGAAGAAAGGATTGCATTCATATTGCACCACTCTCAACGTCGTCACAGTCTGTGTCTTACTGTTATAACTTTGTAGTCTACACTTGCGACTGTGTGCATTTAACAAATTCTATAAAATACTGCTGGATACGTTCCTGTTCTAGTCTGCTTGCAACATATAAGATTCAACATCTACTGTCTAAGCCCTGCTACGTAGTCATTTTTTAATTCAGGTCATCTTTATTTAAGATCTGCGCTTTTGGAGCGCAGTAGAGTGTCAGTAGGCCGTGAAATGACCTGTAGGTTGTTGCAAATTCACATCGGTTAAAATCATTACAATTCCGATCCATTACAGTGCTAAGATAAACAAATGACGACAGCAGCAGCACCTTGACTTGATGCGTGTCTCGCGCACTGAGATGTTTGTTTCAAGTTGACGATCTAGGACATAATTCTGGATAAAAATGTCCGCACTTTTAACCACAGGTGCGAGAGTTGAATAAAAGCTCCGTCATAACGCATCTAAGAAAGTTTTAACGCACAGGTTTGGATTACCAAGGGCGGTTCGAAGATCGCTAGGCGTGGTGTTGAAAATATCTTACTCTGACGACTAATAAATCTCAGAGGAATACCGGTTGATTAAGGTATATTTACAAGCTGTCAGTTGGGCAACGACCCATCTTTTAGGATTACTATTGTAACGATAAGACGCAGGTTGAAGAAATTGAAACAGTTACTACAAGGTCAGTATCGTGACAGTGTTCCGACACGGGTACTCAGCTTAGATAGGAAAGTAGGCTTTGGATCTTACGGTTTTTTTAAGTAGTTCAGTCCAAAGAACTGAAACAACTGTTTCTCATGCCCGTGTTCCATTCCGGGTAGATAGCAGCTAGGGAACGGGTTGTGCGTCTTGTATTTAAATGTACAAAGGTGCAGATAGGTCGTTGTGTGTTGAATGCACTCGTTGATGTTGCTGATTGCATACATATACGAATGATAGACAAGGAAGGCGGAAATGATTGTGGTTTAGTAACGCCTTCAGCCATCCAACGCGGTAAATAATATTCAAGTGATTTCCGATGAAGAGAGATTATGTTGAGTGGGCTTCCTCTGCAACTCAGAGAAAAACGTGACGATAACCTCTTACTGATTAAGCTTATAAGGTATCTCAGATAGAAACCTTTTCACATGTACTACATGGCGGTGCTATCCTTACTCCTTAGTCAGAGGAAGACTTGTGAACTCGCAGAGCCTCTTATCCTATTTGACTAAATGCGTATGAACTAAACGGGTCTAAACTCAAAGTGTCTCTAGTCCTTACAGACTTAAAGAGACTTACCTCGAGGTATCTGAGCAAGCTTGTAATCTTCTATTCCTGGTCCAGTGGACTTCAGACTCCAAGGGAATCATGCGGCACCTACGCCCAAAGGTACACTAGCCTATATACAGGCTTCTGACTCTTACGATCAAAACGTCTACGCAAGACACGTGTCTTAAACTGATTAAAAGACGAGCTGAATTTATTTACTGATTTACAGCGAAAGTTAACCTCACTAGCGTTTTTAACCTTAAAGCTATGCCACCTAATCATGGAGTCATTATAGTAGTTCTTCTGGTGTTACCAAACAGAACCACATCGTACTTTAAAGACCATCTTACGATAGATTCCATCCATCCGCAACTGATAAGGTATGGTACTTTATTTATAGAGTATGTGGTACAATACACCTATCATTCTCACCGATATCTTTGTGCCTGTATCCCACCAGCGTACCTAAATATGACAAACGTTTCTGTAGCCCAGTGATAAATGATTTGCCGAAGGTGCAAGCATTTCACCGCCTTTAAGTGTGTCAAACATGTGCTCGTTAGTCCTATGTCATCCTTGGGTATTTTTGAGCCAATCATGTGCGGACCATTGGTGCGTGCAAGTGACTAAAACTTTTGTGAGATCGCACTTAGTGGTATAATCATAGAGCTTCAAGCATATTTTATTATCAGTTATTGCGAGCCCGATGGGTGGAGCTTTTAGTGACTGTATGCAAGGTGAATGCCGGAATTTTTAAATTGCATTCGTCCGTCTTACCGTGCGTATGTCTGTCTGTCAGTATTTGCGTCTTAAAATAACGTCGTGTACCTTACACGTTATACTCAGTGCGGTGTAGCCTGTCTACCTTCATATTTCGATTAGCATGACAGGCGTCACTAATTTGGTCACTATTTGCGACCGCATGGATAGTATAAGTCGCACGACTAATGCACGCATGTTATTAGCCCAAATATTGTACGTAGATAACAAAGGTCGAAAAGGAATACGCACGGTCCTTCAAAGCTTAAACTTCTCTGCCTATTTGACCCACCAAAATCAGCATCGCAACTAACAGTTGCATTTCATCAAGCACTTATCTGTCCACAATTCGTGAGTATGTAGAGACAGATTCTTCCTGTAAGTACGCCAATTTCATAGAGCCGCCAAGGAGTAAACGAAAACGTCTATTTAGGCGTCGCGGCCACAGTTTTCACGCCAGACGTGTCTCATTAGCGAGTGTTACCACTCAAATCAATCTTCAAGAGCAGGCTGCTGCGGTAAATTTATATCTGGAGATAATCAAAATTTTCACGTTCATGTGAGCTCTGGAGTTTTAAATACATTTACTGTGTTTAATTGAAAGATAAGTTATTAAAATGTCAAGAATCATAATTTTATGAATAAATTTTCGTTTACTATATTGCGTCGAAAGTGAATTAAAGCGTATATCACGGTAGATTTTTGCGCTTTAAGACGAACGAGAACTTAACCATCTATATTTATTTAAGATTTGGTAGCAAGCTCTGAATCTCGCCCTTTACTATAAGTATTTCAATTTTTTCGAACTGATTCTAGTTCTGTACATTCGAGTACCTTGCGCTCGGTCATTATTATCTTCACCCTTCAAGCTCGCAATGATGTTTATTGGATAGTGAAGATAGGATGAATCTTAAATTGCACTTAATATGATGTTAAAGGTACATAGCATTATCTACAGACAGACACACAAGAGACAGATTTATATACATATAGGTACAGTCTGAAAGCTTGGCATTCAAGTTTTCCAACCTTCGTTAATAGCTTCACCCTTCGGGCTTGCAATCAAAAAGGACGATACGAGAGCTAGGGCGCAGCGGAAACAGAATCTTTATGTCAAGATTGCCTTCTTTAAGGACATAAGGTATGTATTGTTAATAAAGAACTTGCATATGAAACACTGCTACAAACCTTTTTACCCGATTGATCTTTGTACCTATTTAAGCTTTATCGAGCAGCCTTCGCATGCCACCAAACTAAGACAGAAGCTTAGTCCCAAGCTGGACATGCTCGGAACCGTCAAGGTATGTATTTGATTAGGTATTTGTAAATGTGTAGCCTAATATTGAATGAGTGTGTACAACCCATTCAGAAGCCGCCGACAACCATCTATTTAAAATAGATGCTGAGTCCCAATCTAGAAATACTTAGGATTATCAAAAATTTCATGTGCTTGATGTATGTGCACCTGTTGTGATTTTGATCCGATAATTCTTAGAGATCGCGCTGCTCTTCTGAAAACATAGCTGGAAGATCAGCGAGAACTGACAAGACTCCAGGAGGGAAAGGCAAGAAGATTACAGCACGAAAACGCTGTAGCAAACCTGTTATCGATGTGGTATCAGAGAGAGACTACCATGATTAGTTCGGTGCGGCTAAAATGGCTTTCGTCATGAGCAAGTTTGGTGTCGAGAAGCTATGAAAAGTTATATTTGGACGTGATAGAGTAAAACCAAGCTCATTGCTCAAATTGTTGTGAGATATGGCTCACTGCCAATTTGACCTACACTTCTCCGAATTTTGTTTGCAGATGCTGCAAGAAAGGTAGTCAACACAGCGAATTATATAAATCAAAAATTTTAATACTAAAAAAAACTAGTGCTTTGTAGGTTCTGCTATAAATGTATTGGATGCGAAAACGACATCAAACCTGGCGGTTCATTACTACCTGATCAAGTGAAAGTTCGTCTGAGAAAGTTAAAAATGGTTGGAGAAATGCTTTTTCTCCCCTTCTCCATGTGGTCTCTTTTCTAGCTCAAGATGGGTCATATCATCCACCATGGTTATTTAGCCATCTTTCAACAAGAATCTGCAGTGCTTATTGATGTAGTACCTCGTCTAGCTGAAAGGATCCCCATTATTATTGTGAAGAGTAATGGCCAGGAAAA